TGGACATGCATTGCGAGTCCTATGGTTATACTGATTGCAATTCTTGTAGCCATGAGTTTTAACTTTGATTAGCCACTTATTTTGTAAATTGACCTGAATAGCATGATTAAATTGGATGCAAATTTGCTATGATATCAAATCTTTTATTCTGGGTAGAGTTTATTCTGACTTGGCATTGTGGGACTGACATGCTGCCCATCTTAATGCTCCATTTTATTCTGATAACCACAGATCAGTATCTGGGACGAGAGAAAAGTCTTTGGTTCTCGAGGGCAGATTCTGAAGGAAGAGTTTGCTGGAAAGAATGTTGGGAATGGAAAGCATAGTGGAGGCAAAGTGGTTGGTCTCCCTTTTCATCCTGATCTTTTGTTCCTGATTTTTTTAGCTGTTCATTCTATTTTCTATATATTTGAAAATGATAGTACCTTCTCATTGAACTCTTTGGTATGCAGAGAAACTCAGCTGGAGATGCCCTTGACAAAATAGTTTCAAGCTATCAGATATTGTATGGTGGTCAAATTGATGAAGATGCGATATTGAGCAGAGCTAAAAATGCTATTAGCTGTGTTGAAAAAATAGATAAGGAGATTGGGAGTGATTTAAATCCAGGTGCCCTTTCTTTTCCACTTGTAATGTGTTCCTAACATAGCTTGGCTTGTCCAGTTCATGTTACAGTGGCCCAAAAGAAACAATTCATTCCGTTTGCAAGGGTTTCTCTAGTTGCCAGACAATTATCTTCCAATTGAACCATACAACTCTGTTTTGTTTAAATGAATAATTAGTTTTCTGGGGTCAATTACTTGGACTTCCCTTTAATTCCACAAAACTAAATAGACCTCACTAATACATGATAGTTTTCTGCCTAAATATCCGAATTGGATGTCTATTAGCTTTTGCTGGCCTCCGAGTGAAATTCCTATGCCTAGCTTAAACAAAAGTAGGAAGAAAGGGCTTCCTTCTTCCAAGAGTGTGCATGTTTGTGATATTCGTCATTTGTTGGCTTCCTTTTTCCCCAAGTGAAGTTTCCTTTTTTCATTCCTATTCCGCTTCTTCCGATTTCTTAATTTTACCAATTAAAAAGCTACATTCAATTGTTTTGCTTACATGTCTAGTTTCAAATTATTTGTTTTGCTTCTATAACTGGCTGATTAAGAAGCTCCATTGAGAAAAAAAACCTTGGGATACCTTATCAGACTGAGAGTCTGAGACGAAACACTTTTTTGATTTCAGTATAAGGACTTGAATCTTTTCATGGAGGAAGACTTATTAGAAAAAAGATCCTCACCAGAGAAGTAAAACTTACTCGAAAAAATATTAAAAAGGTTAAACATGCTTGAATATGTAATCTCACAGACAGAGGTAGGTACGCGACCTGCTGAAATAGAAATGGAAATAGGAGAGTTTTTTTTTTTTTCTTTGTAACAGTGGTGTTCGGTTTAGCTTGTGCATTCCTCGACTATTTCACCGGGTACCTACTACTTCCATTCAGCACAGGCACCGGGTAGCTTTGCCCACCAAGGCTTAGGCAGATTGGAAGAAACCAGTGTTTTTCTTCATCAAAAAAAAAAAGAAGAAAAGAAACCACAGTGTTTTTGGCGGCTGCTGGAATTTAAACTTGATACCTCATGGTTCTGTACCTTCTTTTTTTAAAACTTCTTTTAGGTGTGGACAAAGATAACTGAGGACCAAGTTTTACTTCTTCAAATTAACAATGTAATCCTAGACTGGTTTGGCAGATATTTTCCTGTTTCTCAAAATTCCAAGATCTTTCACTCTTGACTTTTATTCTCATACAATAACACATAAGTTGACTTATACTTCCCGGTATGTGATCAAGGTCGAGTTAGAATGTGACTACTAAATGTTGGAAATTACCTGTTTTGGATTCTTATGTCAAAATTGTTCTGCTGGGAGCATCATATATGTATTGCTTATTATGACAAAATATCAAATGAAACAGAAAAATGAGGTATCAATTTTAGCTAAAAGTTATCAAACACCCGTATCTCTTGAAGTTACTTGTTGTGAGGACAGTAGTTGTTTAAAGTTTGCTTAGGGTCATACTGTGTATAATCTTTTTGAAAATAAAAATGTGTTGCCTACCTTTTACTGTTATGGTAACCAATTCAATTTGTCTTCAACTCTGGGGAATTAAGGAAACTGTATGTGTTTTATTATTGTAGAGGAAGACATGATTGTGTATAGGATAATTATATGCAAAAATTGTTATTCCTTTCCTCTACAGAGAAACCTTTCTTCCAAGTCAATTCACCATTAGAGCCATTTATCATCTTTCACAGTCTTACTTAGAGAAAAAGAGAAAGTTACAAAAGCTTTATCCAAGTCGTGTTTATTAGGTAAATGTATAGGGATTTTTTCTAGTCAGAGGAGCCGATTTTCATGGGCATGATTGAATGTAATACTTAACCATACGGTATTGTGGTCTTAGTTTTCAACCATCTAATCCATATTATAATACCTTATTTTTCCTCTGTTGAAATGTAGTTTGATTTGTTTTTCTTTGATACTTGTTTGTCACACTAGACTTTCTATGATTCTATCGACCTCCTCCCTTTCCCTTCAGGTCATCTTAATGGATCTGGTATAGTGGATGAGCTCAAGGGGCAGCACACAATATTGAAGGACTGTGTCGAGCAACTAACAACTGTTGAGTCATACAGGGCAAACCTCATCTCTCATCTCAGAGAGGTCCTCCAGGAGCAGGTTAGTCATCCCATTGTTGTGCATTCTTTCCATCTTTCTGTTTGTTTTTGTGCTTTTACTCCTGATTAAGTGGTCCCATGGGTTTCTCCTCAGGAATATAAGTTGGATCAAGTACGCAATCATCTTCAGGTAAATAACGTGCTTATTTATATCTGTTGAAATGATCATTGTTAAATTCATGATATATGTCTTTGTGGGATGGCCAGCTGTGTCAGTTTTTGAGTTTTGTAAATGTCTGTGATGCACCTCCTCTTTGATGTGTTATGATATTTTGGTGAACTTTTGATTGTGCTCTGTCATAGATTACATGATATTGGTTTCAAAGAGAATCAAATATAGTTGAGTAGACGATGAGAGATATACCTCATGCTTACTTGCAGGGTTATTTTCCTTTTTTATTTGATAAGAAAAAAAATTGTAGGGAAGGGAAATCCTATCGGAGCTACCAGCTTTCCTATTCATCAAAAGTCAAAATGTAGAGAAGGAATAGCCAGTGCATTTTTTACTTTCCCAGTAAAGAAGTGATACTTCTCACATTAGTATTGATAATGCTATCCTGCTAGCTTTTCTGGGTTACACATATTCCTAGTGACGTTTCATTACTTGGATTTTAGGCTGCTCAGTCCCACGCAGATCAGGTTGGCAGTATTTGCGGACAGTTGCTGAATTTTGATGGCAATGGGCAAATCTTGGTTGAGCAGAATCGAAAGGAAGCTAACACCTCCCAAGCTCCACACACATTCATATCTGGAAATCGCGAACAATCTGCTCCAGTGATGTACACTCGACAGGTATCTTATGAAAAATCTGGCAACCTTGACGAAGATATGAAGTCTGCGGCTGCTGCAGTGGCAGCAAAGCTCACTGCATCAACATCTTCAGCCCAGATGCTGACTTATGTCCTCTCATCCTTGGCGTCCGAGGGTGTCATAGGCAACTCAACTAAAGAATCTTCCCATGATAATCAACCGGAGAAAAGGATGAAGCTTGAAAATGACCGCTCTTTTTATGCTCCCCCTCAGAATCCTCAAGAACCCATCACATTTTTCTCTCAGCCAAATTCCGTGCAACACAATCTTCCAAGCACTGGGGGGGAATCAACTCCAATTGAACCGCCTCCTCTACCATCATCGCCTCCACCATTGGCACCCTTGCCTCCTATGCAGCCATATCCAGTACCTCAGTTCATTCAGACATCTGGGCAGTTGCCTAGTTCAGCATTTGTTTACGCAACAAGCCAGCAACCTTCAACATTGGCTGGTTTTGTCCCTCCTGTGAATGGGATTTCTCCTTTCACATCTTCAATTGCTTATCAAGGTTATTCAAGTGATAGTAGTTTATATAGCCAGTCGATGGCACCGGTTACACGTCAGTAGGAGAGTTGGTGGTGGTTGGGTTGTTATTTTAGAGCTATAGATTCATACTTAGCTTCTGTCGCTTAACTTTAGGGTTGTTGGGAGCTTTTATTTAATTTGTTAACTAGTCTGATGTACAAGATTAGGCTGTAACTATGTAACTTATATTGTGATTTTGTTTCTAGATTGGAGGTTGTTGGTGTTTATAAAAATACTGATCTAGTATTGCGAGTGGTGTTTTTGTATCATCTAAGAGAATATTAATGGTCATGAACGTATTCTGGTTGAAAAGAGACAAACATTTTTTGGTAAACAAGCAAGGAAATCAACTTTTTTTTTTCTTTCTATAAATTAGAAAACCTCTCTCTAGTGGAGAGATAGATTCAATGAATATTGATTTGGGGTGACATATCTCTCTCGGGAGAAGGTAAAAAAACTGATTAATGGAACAAAAGCTGATTAATTCCGCCGTCCTGCTGTTGGTACTAGGAAGAAACCAGACACGACAACTCCACTCACTCATTTTCTCTTAACTCTCCAAAACAAAGCTTTGTCTCCCTTTTTGTTGTGCTACTCTGCTAATCCCATCAACAAGAACACGTGCCCTCTTTACAACTACTAATTTTCTCCAAAAGCAGCCGTCCAAATTTAAACTTAAACAAAGTAAGTACTACGAGAGCCCAAAACGGTAAAATATACATACTCCTTAAAAAAGGGAACCATACTGAAAAAGCCTGCTCTTTTTGTCCAATGAGCACGCCCTCAAAATAGGTGCCAAATCAATGCTAAAATACAACAAGGACATGAGTTACACTTGACTATAAATAATAGCTCTAGTTACATTCTCAAATGAATATATATATTCTCACTCACCAGTCATACTATAGAATGCAGCAGTGTTACCTACAAATAGTGGAAGAAATGGCTTCAAAGAATGCAGTGGTTATATTCAGCAATAGTACATGTTGTATGTGTCATGCCATAAAGAGGCTCTTGTGTGGAATGGGTGTCAATCCAACTGTTTATGAATTGGATAATTATAACACCACTTGGCAACCGGCCTTGTTTACTCTTCTTGCCAATTCATCCTCCGATCTGCCTGTTGTTTTCATAGGTGGCAAGCTCCTTGGCTCCATGGACACTATCATGGCTGCTCATATTAATGGCACACTAGTTCCTCTTTTAAAAGACGCTGGTGCTCTCTGGCTTTGATCACCGAATTATTAATTATTTTTATTTTTACTTCTCTTTTTTGTTTTGTAGCTAAGGGTCACAAGAATTCAAATTATGAAAAAGGCAATTGTAGTTTGTTCCCATTTATCATCACTTCCTAATTTATTTACCTTTATACTTTGTCCTCACCCTTCAATTATTTACCCTTTTCCCTTAAACTTATCCGACTCTTTTCTTATTGTACTAAAAAGAATGGCTTCAACACTAATACACAACACCAACATACCTATGTTATCCCACAAATTAGTTTTCAAAGAACAGAGAGAGTTATGTCGTAAAAGTAAAAAGGTTGTTTCCCATCTCATCACTTCTAATTCTATTCTTCTTGACAACATTCTATTTTAATGTGCTTGAAGTTACATGGCAGAGCAAAGCTAAGTAGGGATTTGAATGAATTCAATAGCTCTTCCGTAAATTCAGTATTTATATTAGAAAATTAAGTAAATATATATGTATATTAACTTGTGAACCCTAATATCATTACTCTGGTCTCTAATTTTATATTTTAAATTGATTGACGAATTAGTGGTAAGCAAAGTGCTTTCCATGCTAGAGTTGTAAGTTTGAACCCTAGTATCAACAAAAGCTATTTATATCAATTTCTTTATAAAGTTTTCTATTGAGTGTGCATTCGTTTCCTTGTTGAAACACGATGAAACGAAAAAATGGACATGACCCATGATTCTTTTGTGTTATCATATTTTAAAATAAGAATAAATACTGTAATATCATAATAAAAAAGAATAAAACACATTTTTACCATTTCTTTAATGAGTTTTTACTTTTTAAAATGCAAGTAACATTGTTCTCTTAATATTCATATTATTTATTAGTGTAATTTTTTCAGATATGTGACTCTTTATTATCGTAATTGTGATTCTAGATTAATTGGTTAAACATTTTGTTAACTCTTTATGCAATTCAAAAATGTAACTCCAATTTATTAATTATGCATGTATATATTTAGTAAAATAGGGTGCAAATAGTGGCTCTCACAATCAGGAAAGGTACAAACAAACCTCATCCATTGATAATTTATGAAAAAAACAAGGAAAGAAAAGATATGATGCAATTCAAATTAACTTGTGATCTTATAAAAATAAATAAAATTACAAGATAAAGTAGTCCAAAAACAGAAAAAAGGGATTTATAACTAACTGCTCCCCTTCCCTACGTATGTATATGATATATATATACGCCTCGACAGACAGTAGTCCTCTCTTTATTAAAACCAAAAAGGAAAAAGAAGTAGTCGCTTTTACATTTCTTTCTTTCTTTCTTTCCTTCATAAATTTGGGGTCTAGTCTAGGGTTCCTCCCTCCCTCTCTTTTACTGTTTAGTTTTTATTCTTCTTAGAAAAATAATGGGGGAGTTTTGAGTGGTTCAACGCCGTGCTGAACTCAATTTCTTTGTTTGGCTCTGAGGGTAATTTAGCAAGTCAAGTGAAGTTGGAGGTTTGTTTGTTGGAGGTTGGATCGGAAAACAAAGTGAAGACGGTGGTGGCGGATTTCAAATGCCGGAAGAGGACTTAATTGAACTCAAATTTCGGTTGTATGATGGATCAGATATTGGTCCTTTTCAATACTCACCCACTTCCACCATAGCTATCCTCAAAGAGAGGATTGTTGCCGACTGGCCCAAAGGTTTTTCTTTTTCTTCCTTCTACTTACTTCCTTTACTCTTCATCTTCGCATCTCTGCTGTCTTCATCTTCCTTTATGTATACCATCTTGTAATCCCTCTGCTTTGAAAATTTGTTCTACAGGCTAGCCACCTGCATGTTTTGTAAGTTGACTTTTGTTAGATTATGTGCTATACACAGTTTTTTCAGTGCCTTGATATATAGTTATAACTCTGTTGTGATAATTTCTAAATGGAACTAGGCAAAGGCGGATTTATTAGTTACAATGTTTATTGTCAAGTAGAGAATCCAAAAGTGCTAGTGTTTGTTGCAAATGCCTGATTGTCAAGTAACCACAGAGAGTATCTTTCCCCGGAATTTTATGAGGCAAGAATTGTAGTGAGGTATTCTTTGTTTTATAATGAAGTAGGTTTAGTTAGTTTATCCATAACTAGGGTAAACAAGTAGCTCATGGAGGCATATACCTTCCGTGAAGTTGTGAACCCATTTCGTCCACCATAGAACCTTATCTAGCATACTCTTAGTTAACTCATTCATATAAGCCAAGCATTCTTTCACCTATGATTGTTCATGAAGGCAATGCATTCATACATACTACTACAGATAAATATTCTAGTGTTTAGATAATTCAAACATAATCAACCTCCGATTCACAGTGTGAAAACCCCGCAGGGATATATTGATTATCCATCTTTAAGATCAAAATCAACACCATCACTGGAGTGACTCAGATGTAGATCTAATGTGACCATAGACATTCTGAATTGCATGATTGATATTGTCTTACGTGAAAAGTAGGATATGTATGCCAAGTGTCAGATATGTACTGAATTATACAAGTGTATTATACTCATACAATGCGTACCATTGGAGGCTATCCAAGGGTACTTATGACAGCCTTGCTAAGTATTTGTTGAGAGTACCAAGAAATATGAAGAGAGTATCTGTAGAAGGGAACTTGATATCTGGATCTTCAAGGTAATGACACCAAATCAGAAATGATTCTCATTGAAAATTGACAAGCATTTTGGTCCCTACTCATTTTGCCTGGGAATGCTTGAAGAAAAACCCACAGACCTTAAGAGTTCTTGGTAGAGGATAAGTGCATCGTTGTCAAAGGCCAGAAGCGTAGAAAAGCACCATGATCTATTGGTTCTTAGCTAAGCACAATCAAAGGACATTGCTCAATAGGTGCTGACCAAGAGCAAAATCAAACAATTTATATCGGATACCAGGAAAATAACTCTAAATATGAAAAATAACTATATGGATAATAATATAGGAAAAAATGCTATATTAAATGATGTCAAAAAATGTTTAAATACCGTACGTTAAGTCTCCCATTTGTGGGATTACACTGGGTTTGTTGTTGTTGTAGGGCGAGTCTAAGTGAATCTTTTGATGAGGGACTTTTGGATCTGAAGATCCTGGACGAAAAAGTCCCTTCCCTCCTGCACACTCAAATCCAAAAGTAAAGAAAAAGATCAGCCAAAAATTAAAAGGTCTCTGTATTAGCTATAGGTAAAGTTCTTCTAGAGCCAAAGTCAGGGGCACAAGACAATGCTCCTTCAGAACTAGAAGAGGCAGTTTTATGTTTCTATACTTAATGACTGAACCTTCAATATGCCTTAAATTCACTCCTATCGAACTGGGGATAAACCCAAGACCAATATATTTTCAAATTGTAAACATATATTGGTAGAGGTGATTTAATTTTGATCCTGGTAAAAACCACCTTAATGTTTGCTCTTATACCATGCAAGAATGTGAATAGACATCTGAATTTTGACATTTGACATCTTCCTCTATATCATGCTTTTCCCACGGTCCATTTTTTTCTGCAGGGATTTGTGAAAACGGGTTCTTCATCCGAGCTGGTTTATTATATGGTTACTAGGCTATGTTTTGATAAGATTCAGCTGCTTTTACTGCAGATAAAAAAGTTGCACCTAAGGTGGCAAATGATGTAAAATTGATATGTGCTGGCAAAATTTTGGAAAACAGCAGGACTGTTGGTCAATGCAAGACACCTTTTGGCGAGCTACCAAATGGTGTAATTACCATGCATGCTGTTGTACAACCATCTTTAGCTAAAGCAAAGTCAGGTAGGTTCCCCTTACTACGCAATATGTTGTCATTCTATGTCTGTTTTGAGCAACAGTGTTGCAAGTGCCAGTCTTATTTCTGACATAACATGTGCCTAACATATTTATGCTGGAGATGTCGATTGTCTCTGATAAGATTTTCTGAAGATTGGCATTTCTCTCAAGGCAAGAATATAAGGTGTTCAGATATTGTTTAGTTGCAATCTTTCATATGTGGTATGGAGAAATGTGTATAGTTATGAGAAGAAAGAAGGTGGTTGTGATGATTTGACATTTTTGTGATCCCATCTATAATATTTCTTCTACTTTGAAGTTTGAACATTAGACTTGTCAAACAGATTCAATGAACTTATGTCCACTAAATTAGCAACTATCCTTCACGTTTAACACTTTTGTCTATCTGTGAAGATGCAAGTATACACCTAAGGGTGTGACCTAGTGGTCAATGAAGTGGAATTAGAACCATGGGTCTCAGGTTCATATTCTAGTGGAGGCGAAAACACTAGGTGATCATATTCGGTATGAGGTGCAAGTGACACATTTGGAGGATAAAATGAGAAGAAGTGACTTGAGTGAATTTAATAAAGTCCCATATTGACTACCAATGCACCGGTCACTAACTGAAAGTATTAAAAAAAGATGAGGTAGACCTAAAGTCATACAGAAGAAAGTTATCTTGAACTACCATCTCTCAGAATCCATGTACACTCTGCAAATTATGGCACAATGGAAGTAAAATATCCACATACGGTTTTGATTATGGTTTTATACACCAGTAAAAATGTTGAGAATCTAAATCTTCAAATAGTTGATTGATGCGGGTCTAAATGGGAACACCATGGTTAGCGGGGATCCATATAGCTGACTCTAGCTAGCTTGAAATTGAGGTGTAGTTGATGATGTTGCATCTTTTTCATCACTCCTATTTGGTTTATTTTTTCTTTGTTGTTATTTACTTATTTTAACTTCTTCACCTGCAAGTAGTGCTACTTTTTGCTTTCTATTTTGTGGAATTATCTGAAGACCTGTGAGAGAATTGCTATGTTACAATTGTGTGCATAATTTCTTTTTTGCTACAATTGAAATAATCTTCCACTATTAGTGTGACCTGAGATTACCGCAGACTCTGAACTTGTAGAGCAGCTACGAAATATGGGCTTCCTAAGTTCTTAGGAGTTTTGTTCTACTTGTTGAAGTTGCAAATACTCAAAGCTGGAACATTTGTATCAATGTGCTTATCTTAAAACTAAGAGAGAGCTCTGTATTTGAAAATCTTTGGTGGCCCTGTTACACCCTATTCCCTACTCCTGCCCCCGGTTTTTAATCTTCAGTCCAAGCATTGTGTTGTTGAGCCATTGATGTCTTTAATCTTTTCCTTTATTGCTTCTGAGACTTGTCTTTCTACAACAGAAAAGAAGATTATCGAGAACCCAAATCAAAGCATCTGTTCGTGCTCCATATTGTGAGATTGTAAGTGATTCAGTTTGATCTTGTGGTATCGTTGGGTTACCTGCACTGTGAAGTTTAGTCTGGACTCTGGAGCAATAATTTGTATGATACCTCATTATTACATGTTTGTTGAAAAGCATTTGTAACTATTGCATGTTCTTATGATCACGTTTGTTCTATAAAGTTTGTATCTTTATACTTGTAGTCACAGATTTCTCATATAAAAAATACACAGAGAAGGCTGTGGAGACACGCAGAAGGATTTTTAGCTGTAACTTTTTTTATTAATACTAACTTGTTTACCCTGGTCATCACGTGTCTATGTACTTGGACCATCTTGTGAAGAAGATGTATGATTAAATATATTTATGGATTCATGTTTTAGTCAATAACTGGTATATTAGTGTGAAATAATGCATGGCATGTCAATGGAGATTACAGTACGTTAACGGGGTACAAAGTAAAAGAGAAGACGATCAGATCGGTGGATATAGAAGCTCATTCCCTACCGGCATCTAATCTTGTTGTGTATTCCAATCAGTGCAGCTTCTCTGTTTGTGGCTCTCAGCTACAACTTAGCTTTGGACACCAAAAAGGTATCTGATCTTGAGAGTAACCACGTTGTTGGTTCTGATAGCATTTTCATTTAACTGCAAAGAAACGAGTTGATGTGGCAAAAAATCTTTTGTGGTCTCGATCGATTATTCATTTCCTCCGTTTTCTATTTCATACCGACACTCTACATGACTTTTCCAATTGCAGCCTTTAAAATATGAGATCTAAAATTAGTATATTGATGATGGAAATAACTCATAATTGAAACAAATTGGGAAAAAATACTTTTAAAGTTGCAATGACAGTGAGGAGCAATCTATCCTTGGTCTTGTAGGGTATTAAATGGAATGATTTGAGTTTAATAATTGAGACTCTTTTTCTTTTGATTTAAGTCGGTACTAATATTGAGAAAAGTAATGAAATGAAATCAGCATCGCCATGCAGAGGCAGCAAGAATGGCCCTATCTTGCCATCCCAATAGCAAGCAACCATTGTCCTCTGTCAATTTATAACCATCACAGGAGTAGAGACCCAGTAATATTTTGGATTGTGTCACTGCGTTTGCACTCAGTGCTACTCCTTTAAAACCTTTTCCTTCCATCACCCTCCTCCACTTTTCTAACCTCTCGTGCCGCACCATTCTCTCCATTCCCTCGCACGAAACTATGTTCATTATCTCAGGTCCAAATATGTACTGTTCCAATTTTGCCCTCTGTGATGAATCCCCTGGAAATGTCGCGTCCAGGGAATCAAAGATGGCCGAATAGTAATGCAGCGCCTCCAGGAACCGACCCAGGAAATACGGTCCATTATGGCTCGCCTCTTGCTCCACGATCGTTACTATATTTGGGGCTTGGTCTCTGATCATCCCTAACAAGTTCCCAATACAATTGCCTGGTACTCGATGCAGTCGATTCACCGAATTCACCGCCAGTGCCTCACCTATCCTTCTGTTGAACATATGTGCTTTCAAATCCTCAAGCTGCTCCCCCACCGGGTGAAATTCGAACGGAACGTGGAGGGACTGCGCCAGTTCTGTCAAACATCGACCCGTTTCCCTCACCGCTTCTGGAGACGAACCCACTCCTGTGATACGAAGGAACGGAGCACCGCCAGGTCGGGCTGCTAAGGCCTGCATAAAAGCCGGCCACTGATAACCTTGAAGGATGTCTAAATCGATAACATGAACGCGCTCCTCTGCTTCGAATGCTTCAAATATGGCTTGATTAGCTGTGAAATGAGCGAATTTGACATAAGGGCAGGCTTGGTAAAGAATCTGATAGATCTTGAGGATTTCGAGGGAATTAGGAGGAAAAGGGTTGAAAGGTTTTGGGACAGAGGTACTGGGTTTAGTGGCTAGTGTTGCGGCAAGTCTAGCTGTAAGAGCTTCGGTGAAGCAAGAAGCCACTCGCTGCATGGAGTCACCGATTGGGGTGACTACTCGATTCAGGTGGTGGAGATACCTTCTTGCCAACATATAGTCCTCTTTGGAGACTGCTTCAGCACAAGCAAGGAGAAGGTGCACCAATTGTAAGCCACTGTCCTGATCCTGCATCTGCACAATTTAATTACCACTTCTTTAGCCACCTAAGCGTTGCTATCTGGCGAAATATGAGCAATAGTTTATATTTGTGGCTGATTCAAAGAGTCCAATTTTGTGGAATGACAATTGACAAGGACTAATTTCCTTTCATATATAATAAAAAACTTTTGTCCATACAAAGAGGGACAAATTGCATGGCGATAAGCCCGCCATATAATTCACTCTAGACTTGTTGCAATTTAAGCTTGACTTGGTTGGTTTCTTATATGCATTTAAAAAGAACTAAAACAATTGTTGTGAAGCTGGAACATTCAACACGAAAACACAAGCATTGGAATTTTGGAAAGACAGTATGATATATATATATTTGCATGAGAGCTAGACTATACAGTTTCACAGGAACTGTGGTAAACCCTTGATAAGTGTCATTGCATGAGATTTAAGAAAGGAGAAACAGAAAATTATAGATAAAGTATACCTGATCAGGTGCAGCAACAACCAAGTTGTGATTGATAATTTGCGTATATTGTTGTTGTGTTGATGGTAGTTGAACATGTGTTGGTATTTGTTTTTGTTGCTTCTCATGCTGCCGTTCTTGATGTAGCTGTTGTGACAGAGGAGCAATAGACCCCGTCTGGAAAATCTCATCGTCTTGGTTCAGTACTTGTCCTGTAGATGTGTTGCTGAGTAATGATCCCATAAAGCTACCGGACGTATTGGATGATGAATTTGGCAACGCCAGGCACTCTAAGAAATCAGGAATTACCGACAGAGCATCAAATAACTCGGAAGAGGATCGTGCTGCACCACCATCTGAAACTTTGAGGGTGGAATATGAGGATGCCAAATCCTCCTTGTCATAGTCATCATCCAAGAAACTCTCGAGAGCTGGCAGGTTAAAGCTCTCAATTTGCATGAACTGGTTATTAGGAGAGTTGAAAACTTTTTGGAGTGGGCTCAGTCCCTTGCCTTTATTATTCGAGTTGTAATTATTAGGTCTCAGGGGAGAGCAAGGAGGGGAGCACATCATCATGCTCTGCCCATGAATTCCCTGATGATGTGCGTATATGTTGTTACTGTGAGTAGTAGTACAGAAACTGGAAGCAGGCTGAGGCAAGGGAAGGTTCCTGACGGGGGAAGAGATCATGAAATCTCCCTCCAGCTGATCAGCAAAGAAGGACTCCCAAATTGAGTTATCAGGAGATTGGATTTCAACATCATCGTGGCCTTCAAATTTGGCAGGGAAAGTGAGACTGCCACAATTGAGTTCAAAGTCGGAGGAGATAGGAGTCACATTTTTGGATTCAGAAGAGGCAAGAGAGTCATCTGGAAGCAGCTTGCTGTAAGAATTCTCGCTCTTGAAACTTGCTATTTCACTGTTTAAGCTGCCAACCTCACTTTTTATGTCATTCTTTAAACTCCCCATGTTGCCACACAGAGAATTGTTCATCACACGCATTCACTGCAGGACCTGCTTTTTGCAGTCTTGTGTTCTTCTGATGGATCAACCTTTATTATTATTATTATTATTATTATTTGATGTCGTATATAATTAGAAATGTGAAGTTGACATAAAATGAGAGTGAGTTATGAAGATACAGAAGATGGAAGTTGGTTGCAAAATCAGGCGAAAAGGAAAAGAAAAGAGATTTTTATAGGCGAGTTTTGAGAGTTAAGAGGTTGTCATTCGTCAGCTTGTCCAGACTGTAGCATCTGAGGGAGGGAGGAAAAATCTGTGGCTTTTTCATTTTGCATGTTTGGGAGTTAGTGAATTTTATCGACTTGAAAATGGGATTTGGAATTATACCTTTTATACTCTTACTAAAATTTTCCATCACCTGATTGGTTGATTTTATTATTTTATGTCTTAAACTAAGGTCCAGTTGTACGAAGTTTCGTGGAGAGGGTGGGCTCCATCCTGGGCCGGCCCAGCTGACGTTGAATAAGAAGCTAAGGATGAGTTAATACCATAAAATAAAATAATGGGAGTATAGTGAAATCCGCAAGAGGGGATTGGTCGAAGCGGTATGAAAGGGATATTATTAGATAAATGCAATGCGTCTTTCTAGGTTAACAATCAAGTCACTTCCCAAGGCCAAAACTACTTAACAAATCCACCCACCAATTTTCGAATGACTTTCAGTGCTAATGGAGTACTAATTATCAACTCTACCCATACTTTTAACTAATTATCAAATCTATTAATTTTATTTTGTATATCTTTATGACATAAACATAGTGAAGAATTGAACAAACATAGAGTGAAATAGATAAACCCTAAACTCTTCCTATGCTATGTAATATTTTTAAACTCTACCAATTTCAAATAAATACAGGGCATGCATGTGTTTGGTCTGTCAGATAATCTTCTCTTTTCTGAACAATTTTCTATTGTGTTTGTGTTTTTTTAGGTAGCATTAATGTGAAAAGAATATGATTACAAACACGGGCGGAGCTAATTGGGAACCCAATAGCTTTTCCGTAGATTGTATTGATATTAGAAAATTAAATAAATATATATGTACATTAACTTGTGAATCATCTAACAAAATGACTCAGTGAGAAAAGGTTGTGAAAATGTTTTCCATGCTAGAGTTGTGAGTTTGAAACCACTAGTATCAACAAAATTTTCTCTTCTTTTGTTAAAAGGAAGCATGCTTTTAGAACCCCAAACTCTTATTGCAAATGAGTTTGAGTCACATATACATTGTTAATGTTAAAGATTTTTTAACACTATTGGCGCTTACGATACCAAGCTTGATCTTAAGAGTTGTCTGTTATGTTATTGTGGTAAACTTAACTTGGTAATGTAGTTTGTTTACACTATCAATGCACGGAACATAAATTCTGTATCAATATATAGTAAAAATTCTAAGTGCATCAATCTGCACGATACAGTTTGACTTAGCCTAGTTTTGAAGTCCCAATTGTACAACGCATGCATATACATGGGAAGGAAACTATTAATTAAGGTGGTATCTATATAAGTCTTGTTGTAGCTCCCTACATCTTTATATTATTTTTCGATCATTGAACTTTAGTGTCAGACCAAAATATAGTTTCAGCACAAGGTTATTACTACCAATTGTCAATTCGAATGTATTTGTTCTAACTCATGATAAAAGCATATCTTTTTTTATGTGTGTGTCTCTTGAGCTTTAGAAGGAAGAAAATAGACTCTCAACGCATTTGGATTTTCTCCTAGATATGAAGAGTTTCTTTTCTTTTTCAGTAGCATCTACATGATCTTCAGGCCAACGTTTTCCTTCATTTGAGCGG